AAAAAAAAAAAAAAAAAAAAAAAAAAAAAAAAAAAAAAAAAAAAAAAAAAAAAAAAAAAAAAAAAAAAAAAACCAGAGAAGTAACATTTACATCACCAGGCTGTATTTGTAGCTTCTTGACCTTAGAAGATAATGGCTTTTTATTTGCAGCTGGAAGTTTTCTTATCACTAAGCATAAACTTTCTTCTAAGCGGGCTTCAGTGTAGCAAGTTCTGAAATAAAATGACCTTGTACATTGAGTATTTGCAACATGGATRACTCCGTCCTTGATTTTTTTTGATGTTCAGTTAAAATAAAAAGCATTGAAATGTGATTCAGTGATCACTAGTCATACTTCTAAAAAGTTCAGAGATTGTTTTATTTTTGAGTGTTTTTGTTTTGTTAGAGGTAAAATTCGGACATTGAAATTGCATGAAGCTATAGCTAATATGTTTAATAACAAATTATTCATCTATCAGTCTTTGCAATACTGAAATAGTAATTGGGCCTAAATTCCCAAATTTACATTTGGGAACTGATTGCCTAAGATTATTTCACCATTTTTGTTTTGCTCGTTGTGTTACTAGAAGCTTACCCCAGACCAGTAACTGCACATAAGTGGATGTTGAAGTTTTGATCCACTGATGTGTGACTTTAAGCTGCAGTAATATATGGTAAGGTGAAGTATTTGCATAAAGTCASCCCAGAAGTATTCTTCTTTCATGGAGTTTCCAGCCAAGTTGATCTGTTTTTGTCTGGGGTCACAGCTCCTGTTAAATCAGTCCTGGACGTGCCAGTGTTGGCTGTATAATCGTGCTTTGTTCTCCTCATAGCCACTAAAATCTGTGTTTTGGCAGGTGTGCTATTAACTCGGAGCTGATAAGACAGCCCTCCCTCTCAAAAATGCAGGAGTAGCTGTTTGTTATTGTGGTTCATTATTGGACAAATTAACCCTTGCTAATGGTTATGTTTTAGTTCTGGCTATAGGAGTAGTTCCTGACTTCGGGTTTTTTTTTTGGTTTGTTTAAGTTAAGATTAGATATTATTGCTGTTCCCTGAAAGATATTACATTTATTTCTTTATGTATTTATATAAAAATAAAAATTAAAAAAAAAAAAAGAACTTTTTAAGTGAGCCCTGAATATCTATGGAGTAATTGAGGGATCAATTGGATCAATGGAGCAATCTTCCCCATCCCTTTTCTGTTCCCTAGAGAAAGGATGTGCTATCAAATTTTGTGGAGTTGGTTTTCATTTTAAAGAATGTTTTGCCATTGCTAATAAAAATCCAAGTTCTTAGCCCCTCTGTATTGTACATTTCTATTGCTGATCTATAAAAGAAACTTCAGGGATGGAAAACAGCAGTCTTTTTACCTCCTGCTGTTCACTGCGCTGCTATCCTTATCCCCAACAAAATTAGGTAAAAACTTGATTCTCTCCCCGCCAAATGTTGTAACAGCTTAAGTTGGACAAAAAAAAAAAATTAAGTAATAAGTTTCCTTTAGCACTGCTGTGTAAAAGAAACTTTGAATTCAGAACTGAGAGAAATGTCTATGGAATGCAACATATTGAAATTCCTCCCAGAAATTATAATAAAGGAATTTTGTGTTGAGTTACTTGACCATACGTTCATACCTAGGTCTTTATGGAGATCTTGGACTAACTGGTTCTTTTCAATAGTATATTTAATGAAAAGTGATTGTTACAACAAAAAAAGCAGCAAAGCTGTCTTGATTTTTTTTCCATCACTGAATAAAGGTAGATATAAAGGGATTGGATGCATTAATTCTGGAATGCTGCCTGACTTTGTGCTGGCGGGAGGGCACTCTGCCTTCGCTGGACAGCCAGCCGCTCTCGGAGGCTTTCCTGCCTCTCTCCAAACAGAGAGTCTGGGCCCTCCTGCGGATCAGTGGCATCAACTCASCTCTGCCCTCGTGGTTAGTCATTCTGAGTTGGATCAGCCAGTAGATCTGGCAGAAAACTATCCTAAGTCATTTTCTTTGCAGGTTTAATTTCTCCTAGACTACCTCCCAAGGCTACCTAGCAAGCAAGATGCCAGTATCAGTGCAGAGAAGAAAAAAAGGCTCTGAAGATCAGTGGAGAGGAGATTAAGATATATTAAGATATTTATTTTAGCAGCAGGTAGTTCTCATGGTTTTGGTTGTGACACCAAACTTCATGGTTCGGTTGGGTTAGTTAGTCATTCTAAAGCATATAGTGTGTTTTTTCTGTGTGTATTCATACTGAACTTTGTTAAATATCTATGTATATATATTTGCTTCTACCTAAGAAAAATGGCAAGTTCTAAAGAATGGGTAAGCAAACCTTTTGTTCTGTAGAGTCTGAAACTATAATAATTGCTTGGCCAGAAATGACTGACTTGCCAACAAATTAGTTCTGTTTGGCACATCTTTCTAATATCCTGACATTTCAGTCACGTTCAGTCAGTTCAGAAACTCCTTTAAAAAGTCAAAAGCAACGAAGAAGAAAGAGCTTAAAGCTCACTTAAAAACAAAAACAAATTGTGGATTTTCTTTTTTTTTTTTAAGATGAAAGTTTCCGGTAAATGTGGTGTACCTTGTACCTGAGCATTTTGAGTCTTAAAACTAAGTCTCAGTAGTGACAGATTTCCATAAAATAGTAAATTATGGAAGAATAACAGTWGTGAGGTAACTTTTCTTAAATATAAAATTTAAATAGCAAAACTAGTGTTAGCATTTCTTTAACGAGGGCATTTAGCATACACAAAGCTTTTTTTCAATGCAACATCCAAATCCTGCATTTTCTGAATATATATATATTTGTTTGTTTGCTTTTTAATTATAAGATCCTTGCTCTTGTTATTTTCTTTTTCAGCATAGTAGGAAATTCTGATCTGTGCTACAGGGCTATCTGCACAAATTCTGTGCAAATAAAGCACGGGCTGCAGGTAGAGTAAAACAACTCACTGCATCTGTAACCTGTGCCAATAACTTGTTAAAACTGCTTCTTTCTCTCAAGTTTCCATTTGCCCAAAGTTGCTTTAATAGTGGTTATTAAAGAAGTGGAGAGGGAGTGAAAAACAGTGATGCAAGTTATGTAGAAGCTGTTGAAATCTCTCCTCTCTCTCCATTTATCTCTCTCCTTTCCTCTCCCTACTTCCAGGCAGTCGGGTAACGCTGTTATTTTGTCCTTCTCGTGCTTTGACTGTTTCCTGGTGCCACAGGTCCCACTAGGGGACGTGGTTTCTTGTGGGGCTGGTTTGTGTTTGTCACTTCTTGCTGCCAAGGGGTTTTTTTCACCCCCCTGACAAGTCTCACCATGTTTTAGCTTTCTAATTGGTAGCACTTAATTTTTTTCTTTTTTGTAATCTATGTTGACTCGAGTGAGGTAGGGTTTTAGACTGTTTTTGTTTTGTTTTTCAAACCAGAAGTTTTAAAATAAATACATTCAAGGACTCTGTTGTGAATCACTTTTAATTTTGTATGGAAAAATAAGAAATCCTGATGTCTGCTGTGACTGGAGGCAGCAGATGGAGGAGCACAGTATTGCGATAGTAAAAGGCAAAGAAATGCCTTTCATGTAGGTAGGTGCTGTTTAAAGGATGAACTCCTTTGCTGGTGGTGATCCCTAGGTTTAATCCAGGGAGATAAGTTTAATCTGACAGGTATGTTTACAGAGATGAGGTTTTAGCTCTTAATGGTTATTATCATGAAAACGCACAGGAGGAAAGCAAGGTGTCTAAGCAGCAGTGCTGGTACAAGCTATCATCTGAGCCTGCAGTGTTATGAAGTGAACTTTTCAGTTACACGTGTTCTTGGGATTTCAAGAATCATGTCAAAGGAAAGGTTGTATTAAATGGGGCCATGGCATTGATACTGATGTTGGAGAAATATAGAGGATGTGTGTATATTCTGGATCAATGTATGTAGATGTATTAAGGATTTATATTCTGCATATGGATACTCTTATGATTATCTTGGAATATCATAGATATTCTAAGAATATCTATGGATATGCTTAAGAACAAAACCAGAACTGCAAGGCTACAGGAAATAACCATGTGTATTAGAGTAGCACAGAAGATCCTAGTGCTAAGTTCAAGTTTCATGAGAAAGCTGCTAAATAAAAGCTCTGCCTCACTTAGGCTTAGTTCATATACTGTTCTTTAAATGCATATGTTGTAAGGAATTAATAGGAGAGAAACTGGGGTAAAAACATGAGCTTTTTGTTTAAGACTATGCTTCAAACAAAAATGCTTGCTATTTAAACAAATGCCTGCAACTATTTTCCAGGCTTTCAGCCTTGTGCTGGAGATAGAACTGGGAATGTAGTCCTCATCCTGTCTGAATTTAGGAGAGCACTCTTGCACCCCAAGATTTGATATGCTCTCTCCATTTTCTTTCCCACTTACTGCCCTGAAATGTGTCCCTACAGGAGAACACTCAATGCCTTCCAAATAAGGACCTTCTCTTCTCCCTTCTCTGCCTTTCCGTAACAGTTTGGTTTCTCTGCTATTCCTTACTCTTGTTTTTAATTTGTACCAGTGCCCTACACTCCACCATCAATTCTCTTTCTTTGAATATGAAAATTTATAACTTTTGGGGAGTCGATAAAATGTTAACGCAAACTGACAGAGGAAGGCAATGGAGCAGAGAAAGCAAGTCTGGTCCAAATATCTGTTCTGCTGCTTTATTCAAGCTGCTGCAGCTGGTGTCACCTTTTGTGCTCAGTAGCTCATAGTGTTCATACTCTGTGGTTCCAGAGAGGAGGGAATCTGAAGTGAGGGAAAGGGAGAAAAAAGTAGGAAAGGGAATGATGCGGGAAAAGGAGACTGAGAGCACTTGGATGGAGTTTTACTGGAATTCCACTCCTTGCCTAGCCCCATTCTGCATGCTCCCTGGCCGGGAGCAGCTGCTACCTGGGAACAATAGCAGTTCTGTAGATGTTGCTGATTTTGTTTTATTTAGGGAGGACCATGGAATTGGAAAGTATCATCTGGCTCAGCGGACCCGGTTCCATCATAGTCTTGGGTAACTGTGTGATAATTTTGGTATTAAACGTGCATGGAACATCTTATCTGCAGAGTGTTACTCCATAAAATGCTAGCAGTATGTTACAAGGTTTGTAGTATAAGACGCCAGCTAWAACTGTAATAATAGAAAGAGGAGAAAAGATTACTGCTGTTAGACTTGACAAGAGCGTGTTGGACTTTCTGAAATCTTTTGAGGAACACACTGTGCTGTACACTGCAGGGGAGAGCCAAAAGTGGGCGGGAGGAGAGTCAGTGCCTTGCAGTGGGATATGAATCTTGCGCACGTGCACACGCACYGTAACCTCAGATCTACAAGTGAGTTTAGTCATGAGCATGTGAGTAAGACAGATCAACCAGGGCTACAYGGCTATCGACAGGAGCACCAGTACTTTACACCTACGTCCTGCTTCTCGCTCCTGCTAATTTCTGTTGTAGCTTCTGCTATAAATTCTGTTGTAACTTCTCTCATAACTGTTCTCAATCTTTGCAAGCAAGCCAAGCTTTTCTAGCAAAATAATCCAGACATTTGTAGCTTCCTAATTATTCTACTTCTATTTTCTGCATCCGCTCCAATTTAAGTTCCTGTTCTTGAACATATATGTGCAGCTTTAGTTATCTGGTATTTCATTTGTGGTCTTAATGCTTCCCTGTTTTTACTAAAAATGCCTCTTCAATGCATTTCAGATTTACATGATCTATTTTTGCAACTGTGTGAAGCTGCTGTTTCAGTTCTCCTTCTGTCAGCCAGCACATCCAGACCTTTCTTCTTCCTTCACCTCCACTTCATAGGAAGGAGATTCTGTTGTCAATCCCTTCCAGCCTTGTATGTTTCCCAGCATGAGGATTCTCTTCCAAGCGGGCAGTGTTTCTGACTCTGCTCCTTAGTTTTTGAAACACATCTTGTGCTTTTCTCTGCTAATGGACCTGTGGGACAAGTGGAAGGAGATTCCTGATAGAGAGCACTAATCATCCCTTTTTTGGCCAGTAACTTATTTACTGAGTTCTGCCTTTATTCCTTTAGATATCTGGCAAATGTGTAAAGGCACATATGGCAATCCCACCTATATAACAAAACTCTCTAAAAGGCCCTCACATTGCTCAGGTCTGGCACCTTAATCCTTTTTTAAGAAATCAGTGATTAATGTGACAAAACCAATTAATGTGACAAAATGTGACCATTATTGTGACAAAACCAATTTGTAAAGTAGCTCTGCTGTAATTTATCCTGCCTTCCATATGACTTAATGTCTTTGATGACTGTATTCTTCAAAGTCTATTCAAGATGATATTTAAGTCAGATTAACATGAATATAGATGGTTATAATTCATAAAATACAGAAAATGTGTTTATTTCCTTCAAAGAGTGCCATAACTTAACAGATTGATTAAAGTGGTAGATAGTATATTTACATTTACATTTCCAGATAGTATTTCTACATTTCTACAATCCAGATAGTACATTTACAGAGGGGTCTGTTCAAACCTAAATTACTTTATGATTCTGGGTTACTTCCTTCAATGATCCAGAATAAATAATATCTGGATTGCCACCTTCTTTTTAGTCACATTAAACATCTTAGGAATGTAAGCTCTGTTTATTTATATGGCTGAATAACAATAACCTTGTTAGGGATGTTGTTAAACTCCTCATTCTCTTAGATTTTTAAATCATTCAGAAATGCCTCTGGTTTTGCTGTTGGGGGGGGGGGGGNGGGGGGGGGGGGAAAAGGGATTTTCATAGGATTTTCCTATACTTTTGGTTTCCTAATTTAATTCCTCTTTCTAGGTATGTTCTACGTGTTTTTTTCCTTTAGTATCTTATCCTGCACTTGCCAGCAGGAGAGCACAATGTAAATCACTTGACTCTTGGGAAATACAGAGTCAGAAGAAGTGTGAAGTAACGAGACGGGGCCGTGCTGGCCCTTGCGCAGCCTCACGCYGGAGATGGAGGCCGCCTCCGAAAGGGCCTCCTGGTGCTAGCGCRCGAGGAGGCCGAGCCCGGTGCTGGGGAATGGCCCTTGCGGGAGCTCCCRCAGGAGCAGAAGCCGCGGGAGGGAGGCCCAGGGAGCTGCTCCGTTCCCCGCAGGCAGGCGCTTCCTCGGCGCTGCCCAGCTATGCCGGGCATGTTTGCTTCCCAGCTGCCGAGCAAAGGTGCACATCCCGGCCCTGCGTTCCCAGCTACCTGCCGGAAACGGGAACCGGAACCGCTGGGAAACCTTGTCCCTTGGCAGGATGAAACCTGGCCCCGTGCCAGTTGTTACCTTTTGCAAGACTGGCTGTTTTTGGTTTCGGTCACATTGACTGACGAGGAATGTCGGGAATTCTGCTGAACGTGTTTGAAATGGAATAGAAAACAATAGGTCTTTCATGCCAACCTGAAAGAATAGACTCTTGCCTGAATTTAACTTGTTCTGCTAGTGCTGGCTGAGGAGCTCTTAGACTCTCTGTGGCATTTGGGCCCTTCTTTCTGCTCCGTTGTGTAAAGAAGCTGCTGGAAAAGGAGTCTGTGTCCTGTTATTTTATCTGGATTTGATACTATTTTTGAAATACCTGTAACAGTATAATTAATTTGTACCGGCAGAAAGGATTTCTTGCAAGTGCAACTAATATGCTATCAGCTTTGTCATCTGTAAGGCAAGGTAATTCTTCATGTTTTTTTCTTAGTGGGTTCCCTTATGCTGCGTTCTGTTTTACGTAGAGCTGGAAATCAGTGACTTGTGATTTAACCTTTGATCTCTGTCACCAGAGATCATTTGAATGGAACGTTTAAGAGTTACTACTGTTGCCGACAGGGACTCTAGAAACAAAATATTAGATTAAAATTTGTGTTAATAAGGTCACGTTATGATTCTTTGTACCTGTTATCTTTCTCCCAAGATAGGGTTAGCCAGTTCTCCTTTCTTCTTTTAAATCCCTTTTCTGAAGCTGTGTTACAACATTGCCAATTACGAGTTAGGATCAAGTCAGACAGAAGCGAATGCCCATTGCAGAACGCTGCACTCAAACAGATGATTTGCTCTTTAGCTACCGTGCAGTTACAGTGGATATGAACCTAACGTAGAAGGSATCAAAGATTGGTGTCCCCTTGCCGACTGTCAATGCCTGCAGCAAGTTTACTTCCCTGCTACAGCCCTCCAAGCTCCAGTGATTTGTGACTCGGGGTTTCCTGAACCTAAATCCACCTTTTGATGTAAATGCTCTTGAGGGAGTTGACCTCTATTAATTTGTGTAGGTGATTTTTAAATCTGTGAAATAATAGTATTTGATATTGAAGAATTCCAAAGCTTAAGGACATACCTGTTGTGTGAATGGCTGCTACATGTGTCTTTGACTCAGGGCTAATTTGTTTGGATGTTGCTCATTTCTTGTGTTGACTAATTGCAAACGGTTGCTCCCTGTAACTTTCTTCCTGTTGCACATGAGTTCATTGCTGATTTTTCTCAGCTCTTTTCTTTTCCTGGATGAAAAGTCCTGATCTGTTTAACCATTCCTCGTGGGCAAGGACATGCTGCTTTAACCATTCTAGTTGTGTCCTTCTCTGTGCCTCTTCCAGGTTTTGTTATATCCTGTCTGAGATGGGAAGGAGCCAGAACTGTGTGCCATATTCAAGACAGATATATACAGTAACATGGTGTATCCTTAGGCTTTTTATTAAAATATTCTTAGCACTTGTGGCTTTTTTTTCTGCTTCCCATAATTTTTTATTATGGTAAGATCTTCTTTCAAAGTGCGTAGCTCTTTTGCAATCTGTCATCGCCTGTGGGCTGTTAGAATTCGTTAGAATTTTTAATCTTAGGTGCTTTACTTCACCTCTGTTTACACCAGATTTCTTCTAGTAGCTTAATGTCTACTTGCACAGCTGCAGATAGAACTCATAACTTGTACATATTTTTATTTTTATTGCTCAAAATAACTTAAATTGTGAGCTTTCTCATATTTATGAAGACTTCAATAGTATTTTCAAAACACTTAGAATACACAACTATTTGCAAAATAAGAATTGTATGTGAAAATACCAGAACTAGACATTTTGATTTTCTTTCATCGCCATAATTGACCAACTCTTTTATAGTTYTGTTGCTAGAGAAGATGGAACATGATGACGTTTGCAATAAGACTTTGAAGATAACAGACTTTGGGCTGGCAAGAGAATGGCACCGAACAACCAAAATGAGCGCGGCAGGAACTTATGCGTGGATGGCTCCAGAAGTTATCAAGTCCTCCCTGTTTTCTAAAGGAAGTGATATCTGGAGGTAAGAAGTTTGTCGACTGAAGATTGTGTTCAATACAATTATGTTGATGTTTTTGCCTCAATTTTTATTTGAAATACTTTGATGTTTTCTTAAAACCACATGCCTCAGCATATGGCAATTTCAGCAGTTCCAAAAACCATGCTGATTTCCTAACAAGTGCTTCATTTGATTTACTTTTAGTTATTCCTGACTTACAAATTCAGAGGAGAAGGAAAAGGGCAGAAAAAATGTGTTTTGAAAAGAAAGTAAGATCTCATTAAGAGAAGTCTTTAAAGTATCCACTGGTTAAGATAAACAAGTACTTTACCTGGTTATATCTTAATATAAAAGACCATATGCTTTCAAGACATAGCATATGATCAATCTTGTAGTATATTTGCTTTATATTAGGTCTTTTCAAAGCCTCCTTGTGCCTAGGGAAATAGGAGCAGCCAGATATTTACAGGTATTAGTACAATTACTTGGTAAAAAAAAGCAAGTGGCAAAGCAGAACTTTGCTTCTTATTAAATTAGTGATGTTTTTATAGGGATGTGATCATATATAAAAGGAAGCAGCAGATCAAAACTTTTATATTTAGAAATTGTGTTGCAGTAGCTGGAATGAGGAGAAGTAGTGTTCAGCATGTAATTGTTTTAACTTGCTCTCTAATTTGGAAGGTGTGGAGCTCCCTGTGTTAAATTTGTGAACTTTTTATTAAAGACATTTTGGTATGTCAGATGAGCAATATTACTTTTTAATCCTGATGCCATATCTGAGTAGTGCTACGTAGCATACATGTATTGTATCTAAAGTCATTTCGACTTTATTTTCAATTTAATTCCATTTTCTGAATGGGGAAAGGCACTGATTGCACAACAGGCATTCCAAGATGTAGTGCCTCACCCTGATAAGTCTACATTTCCTTACTTTCYGAAATGTTTCCTCTCCAGGAGATACAAAATAGCTCTTCAGGGAAGGAGGGGGAGGATCATAATCTGTTTCCTTGTGTTGTCTTATGCATGTTCTCTGTGGTAGAGTTCTTAAATAGGGTCCCATTTTATTCAGAGGCCTGCTAGCCTAGTAATGCTTTTGATAATCTCTGGATGATTCTATTCATGTGCCGCTGTTTTGCAGCACCCCTTCTATGTGTCTTATGCCTGGAACTGATTTCTCAGCATGTTGTTTACATAGGTTTGAGTTGATGTTCAGAAAAGTCATTGGATTCTCCCTTCCTTTCRCTCCCTTCTCCTTTCCTTTCCTTTTTTTTCCCCGCTTTTTTTGTGAGGTGGAGGTTGGGGGTAGGTGTCTCCCTAATCAGCTGTATTCCGTGCTTGATTACAGGTCCTGTCCAATCTTGTTGCTGTGATTTTTAGATATCTGAGGGGGTATGCTTTGGTGCAATTGTTTTATATTCTACTGCAACATTAGTTTACATTTTTGGAAACTACAGTATTTCTCTTCTTCATCCTCTCTCCTGCACGCCTCTCTTGTAAAAATGTGAGTATTTAGTTCAATGGTGGAGCTCTGTCAGGAAAAGTTTTAAGTAGAAAGGTTTTATTGTACAGTAAAGTTTAGTCCTTGGCTTCTGAAGCTTTTCTGCTTACTGCATCTTAATCTGTTCCGTTGCTTATCTTTGCTCTTTCTTTGAGAGAGAAAAAAAAAAGGCAGATAAAAGTTTGTGAATCTAGTAATAGTCAATAATATGGAACTGCTTTTTATTTCAGAAAAAAAAAATCTGTTTGCAATATTGAGTAAATGCTTTCATAGGTCCGAAATCTGCTCTGTTTGAGGAAAGATGTGAGGTGAAGCTGTGCACACAGAGCACTGAGTCTTCACGAGAAGACCTCTTCTTGCAAAACCAAAAGGCTGGCCAGCAGCTGAGGCTGCTCTGGTTTAATCACCCCCACAAGCAGTGCTGGGAACCTGCAGGTGCTGGGGCACCTCCTGGGAGCACTTTAGTAGAGATCCTTGCAGGCTGTGTTTTCTCACGTGCCCACYTATGTAGTCATACTGGTGCTCCCCAGGCCAGCACTTGCTTCCCAAGCAAGGCCTATAGGCATTTGGTTGTCCTTCGGAATATGGTTGTCCTCCATACTCCCAAACTAGAACTCTGCTCTTCCACCCCTTGCCTTCTGTCATTCCTCACACGCTTTCTGTGATGCTTCAGTCTTGCTGTGGTGCATAAAGCCAGGAGGCACAAGTATGTCYGCAGATGTCCCGGCGATGCTGGTGTTTCAGCAGTGGCACATGAGTAGGCCCTACCTCCCTCCTACAGGCCCTTGGCAAGGCCCAGGAGCACTTGATGTACAGGAGCATGAGCAGCTGCTTGTGCCTGGGACATTTTCATTCTGAAGTGATTTGGGTAGCAGTGCTTGGGAAYCTTGGGATTTAGGAGCTGGATTGTTCAGTAATATAAACTTCGAGGACCTGAATTACCTTCAGTTGGATCAGGTTTTAAAATGTGCAAAAGCAGCAGGCTGCTACTGGAATAAGAAATAGTAAGGGTTAAATTACATTTCATGATAGGATAATACATTTAAATGACGAAAATATTTACCGGAAGTGCATTAATTTGTAGTTTAAAAATGTATAATTCAAGTGCTAATGCTTATCCTTTTCTGAAGATGATAAAAGAGCTAAAGCTCCTTTTAAACAGCTATTTCTTAGAAGCCCTGTCACAGCATCCTGTGTGACAGCACGTGGGCTGCTGGAACTTAATGCACAAAGCAACTACTTCCACAGCTGTGCAAGTTAATGAGTAGTTATTATCCCAGATAATGATAGACTAGCACCTCCCAAGAACTCGAGCAGGGTGGGACTAGAACATTCGTAGGGCTTCTAGCCCCCTAGTCCAGTTCTGGCTCTTGGTACYCAATATTAAGACTTTATTTTCATTAAAAAGGCGCTTTTAAGMTATTACAGTGTCTGTTTAAAATTTTGCAACCATCTTTTGGCACTGTTGAATAGCATTAAAGGTTTGAATTTTGAATATAATTAAACCTAATAGGATGACAATACCTTTTTTATGGTAGATGATTTCTTTCAAGCTAAATTTTTGTTCTTCTGCTTAACTTAAGAAGTCATGCCAAAATGTGCAGAATAATTTCAATGAGGAGATTCCTTGAATTAAGAATAGTATACTTACTTGTACTTTCTCTAAATTTACAAATAAGAGGAAGTACATGTTTAATACAATTCCTACATTGTATCTAAAATGTATATTTGCTGCCAAAAGTGCCAATATTGCCAAAAGTACCAATATTTTTAAACAGTATTGGAATTTATGTGAACAGGTACACAGATTAGCCAGGAAATGTTTTTTGGCAACCACTTTATAAGAACTCCAAGACTTTACTTTTACTTGTAAACAATTTCTAAACAAGAAGTACAACATAYTTCTCTACTTTAGATCAGTTATTAACTTAAATTCTGTACTTTCGTAAGGTTTTATGACAGGCAGAGCTTCTTAGATAAACAGCACTTAGATAAATCATACTGCTGTTTAATTGAAATTGATTGCTGTATAGCTATTGCTCACATAAAATTCTGTAGGCACTTGCGTAGTGTGCTGTGTACTGTACCTTATTTGAATTAAGGTCATGTTATAAGTTTTTGTACAATCTTGCAAAAGAYGAGTGATGGAAAAAACTTCCCTTGTGTATTGATGCCTGTAATTGGGATTATATTTACTAGTGATAATGTTGGATATGTAGAGGTGCACAATCCTTTCTTCCCTAAGGCTGTGGGCATTTCTCCTCATGTAGTAGGAGACCTTGATGCAATGTTCTGCATCCTACAGGCAACTTATTTACACCTCTGGAAAGGAAGGGCAAGAGCAGTGCTTTGTGTTCTGTTTTTCTCCCTTTGCCTGCTCAGTTCCCCAGTTGAAAACAACAGGTTGCCTTTTCTTTCCATGTTCCATCTAGTGTGGACAAGCAATAAAGTCAGCCTTACAAGTCAAGCTAATGTTAGATTAATGTTCCAAAACATGTTTAGTGCTTTCACTAAAATGGCTGTGAAAGTTATTAATTTTAGTGGTGTTGGGATAGGATCCCCCAAGTAGAGCAACAGCACCTGGTTGCCGTCTTGGCACTTGACGGGATTTGTGTTGTTTGAACAGGCGGTAGGTCTACAAACCCAAAGAGGAAAAGGTAATGCCTCGCTTCCCCTCCCGACTGCAGAGCCTGGCAACGTTGCTGCCATAGAACTTGCTGTGATTTCTGTATCTAAAAAGGATATTTTTGCACCATTATCTTTCACTGACTTTTTTTTTAAATATGGTGAAATTAGTTTTGAATAGGACAGATATCCTGTAGCATCTACAGTGTGAAGTGAAAAGTTAACGGGCTATTTTATATTGTGCAAGGGATTTAAAAATGCCAACTTGCAAACAGTGATTTTTTTAGTAATAATAAAAAAGCAACAATTGTGAGAATATTGTGACTGTTGTGAAATGTTTGAAGAGGAGTATTGCCTGAATGCTCTGCCGTGAGTTTTGGAGGGTTCATTGTTCCTTGGGTTTTTTGTTTGTTTTAATTCTGGTGGGGAGAGGGTTGCTTTTTTTCTTGTGATTCAGTCTTGTAATTACAAGTGAGATCTATGTGACACTAACATGTCTATCAAAATGAATCTAGGTAACATTTTGGATAGAAGTTCTGCAGATTTTTTTTCCAGTTATGAACTGACAATGGACAGGGTTMACCACTGATATGGGAAATCCACATGGATTCCAGGACATGGCTGGATGTACTTTTTTTGTTGTTGTTGACTAAAGTGTGCCACTATTCACAAAATCATGGTTTAATAATTGCCTTTTGTAGTTATGGAGTGTTGCTGTGGGAGCTGCTTACAGGAGAAGTTCCTTACCGTGGCATCGATGGACTTGCTGTGGCTTATGGTGTTGCCGTCAACAAGCTGACTTTGCCCATTCCATCCACTTGTCCTGAACCGTTTGCAAAACTCATGAAAGGTATCTATGTTGTTTCTTCCATCTATTTAAATAATTAGGTTTTTGGGGTACGTATCCTTTTCAAAATGCAGAAGTTTCCTGTTCTTCTCCACAGCTGACACATCAGAACGTGGTTCAGAGGAAGTCATGCGCTACTACAGTATAGCACTTGTCTTCTTCAATGGTAGCTGAAGATATTTTTTCTTAGCATATTGTTCTGGTTTTACAGATTTCTATTTACTGTCAAATTGCACCAATTTTCATAATATGGAGAATATGCCACAGAGCAATACAAAATTAAGACTAGAATCTGAAGGGGAAGGATCACAAGTGCCATTTTCTTCCTCATTGTTTCTTCCCAAGTGCCAAAAATGTTTCTCAGATTCTCTAGAGAGAATGGCTAATGCCATTTCCATATGTACAATGATTTTTTTTTTTAACCTTTTGGTTATATAAGAGGCSCCTCTAAGTAGTACTGTTAGTTTTGTTATTTCAGATTTTAAAATAGGACTGGAAAAAGTATGGCTATTCAAATAAGTTCACTGAATGCAGGTAGGTAAATCCCACTTTTAAAACAYGGGAACTGATCTAGAGAAACATTGTAGATAACAGAAATGCATTAGAACTTGAAATACAGTAGCAAGTAACTTGAAATTCATGTATTTCTTCAAAAAGTTCTATGTACTGTTAAAAACTGATGGGATTTTGATAAATTCTAGAATGCTGGGAGCAGGATCCTCATATCCGACCATCGTTTGCCTTAATTCTTGAACAGCTTACTGCCATTGAGGGGGCAGTTATGACTGAAATGCCTCAAGAATCTTTCCATTCCATGCAAGATGACTGGAAATTGGAAATTCAGCAGATATTCAATGAACTGAGGACCAAGGAAAAAGTAAGTTGATTTTTTCCAATTGCGAATGAAGGAAGGACATGTGTGCACATGTGAATTGGTGTGATATAGCAGTTTTGAATTTTTGAATTGTAACTTGTCAAAATAATACAAGAAACCTGATATAGTACCTGAGGTACATTTGAGAAAATGACCTATATGAAAGGGAAAGATTTACTCCTAAGCTGTATACCAAACATGTTGTTAATTTATTTGCCTGGTTTTCTTGGTAGATGTGCTTTTCTTAAACTGCTGTGAAGAGCTTCTGGGCAATATTTTAAGATACAATTGTAACTGTCTTGCAACAAGCTTACTTTAGAAACAGGCAGTGCTATTTCTAATGTTCTCAAATTTCAGATAATGTTGCTTTTCCCCTTCCCTTCTTAACTTCTTAACTAAAAAAATAAATAGTTCTGAATGCCAAAGCTATAGTTAGGATATTTCACTTGGGGCTGAAATGCTAAGTTTGACAGGAAGCATAAAATTATTGCAGAAGGCTATCATGCGTCATTCAAGAAGTTCACAAAATTGGAAGAACATAATATGGGGTAGTTTTTGAAAACTTGACAGATATTAGTAAGATCAATTAAGTCRAAGTTCGGCTGATGAATCAGTAATTCCAGTTTCTCTTGTTTGCTACTCAGGTTCCTATCTTCTTTCTGTATTCCTATGGGATGTATTTATGCTAAATGAGCACTCACTAAATTCTTTCATTTAGTTATTTTAGCATGCTTTTAATCACCTCTAGGTTTATATTTTCCTTTAGGCAACATCCTAAGTTGCTTGTTGGRTAGGCCAGATATTCTTGTATCCTTGTTAGAAAAAACCTTTAGGGCGTTCTCTTTTAACTTTTTTTCCAAGTAGTTATTGCCTATATATAATGCATTTTCTTGATATTTGTTATTACTCTTCATRAAACTGTAGTAGCTAAGAGAATTATGTCACAGATTCAGATGGAAATTCTAATTAAAGATTTGGTCACTTTAAGAATTTTTGACAGAAAAAGAAACCAAACCAGCCTCTCACATTGTATATCAGCCCTTCACTTGGTCTCATCAAACTTTACCAAACTTTACTGGCTAGTGATGGGTGAGACTTTATGGATCTACTGTAAAATCTGGTGTTGGAATTTATCTATCAGCACTAAAATTGTAGCATTACCTATCCACMTTCTCTCCCACCCTGTGGTTCCCTTTCTTCCCTTTCAGTTTCCAGAAATGAGCAAGATTTGTCTGCACAGTGTCCCCTGCCTGCAATGGACATGCAGATGGCTGGAGCTGAGCTAGGTAGCTCTCTCCTATAGATGGGTGCTCATATAGGCTTTTCATTTTACTTGCAGTAGTGTTTGCAGCCACTTTGTTCACTTGCTGGAACTTGCCACAGGGCCTATATCCCTTCCCCTCTTGACTGTTTTTTGGAGGCCTCAGTCCCGACTAAGGAGATTTCCTAGCAAAGAAAATCCCCATTGACTAAATCAGGGTGAGAAGGAGAAAAGTTGGTGCAAAACTTTGTGAAATGTGTGTAAGAGCCAAATGTGTTTAATTAGGAGGGCAAGATAAAATGAAACCTATTTCTTACATGCCAAAGTGAATTCATCTCCAAAGGCATCTGCCCTAATTAGGTAAACTTGTTGAAGAACGAAAACATGAAACTTTGACTTAGAAAAGGCTTTCATGTCTTTATGCTTATTTAGCTTGGCACAGTACCAATTTTACTGGGAGGTACTAGAGAGAAAGCTGTGTCTGTGAAGTATTTATATAATTTAAAAAATAATAAAAAACCCTGCATAGAGTCTCCTGCCCTCTGCAAGAGGCACTTCTGTAGCTGGAGGAATTTCCTGAAGGGCTTGCTGTAAAAYGAGTGATGGCGACACCCGCTCCGTGGAAAGATCACAATCTTCTTTTGATGAACGTTGTTGAGCAACTTAAGTACAGAATTCTTTCCTAGCTTCCTTATAATGAGTATTTTAATTGTAGAGTGGTGCAGTAGCATTGCATAACTAATTGCAGTAAGTCTTTTTTTAATTAGTTTATTTGGAAAAGAGTAAATAATATGACTGTCAATGAGGAAACATTATTGCGTTATCTGCACTGTCTTCCTTTCCAATACAGGCTGCCAGTCTTTGCTTATGCAACCAGCATTTAAAGAGATGGATAATTAACAGCATCTCTTAATACTTCATAGTAATAAACATAATCTCTCTTTAAACTCTTAAAAATTATTTTTCTTCTAAATTTGAATAAATTTTACTTCTGATCTCAACACTCGTCTTAGTCTTGCAATATTTGACTGGACAGAAATAGCAGAGGGAAGTGGGGTTTTGCACTATTTCCTTCTAAATAAAGTAATTAAATATCATATTAAGAAAGCAACCCAGCTTACTTTGCTTGCTGATATGAAGACAGACTCCTCTRAATTACCAAGAGGCAGAATTGCTTTTGGCAAAATGTGCGTGTTAAGCAAACTGGATTTTAAAAAGCTATAAGAAAAAATCCTTTGGAAGAAGCTCACTTTAATAAAACATATGAAATGTGTCAATCATTTAACACCATTTCTGAATTTGATTTAAAGAGTGTATATATTTTCTACTAAAGCTATAAAGAAAAAAAATAATTTCTAAGGAACAGATAATCATCACTGTCTAAGTAACGAGGAGCAGAATTTGGTTCAGGGCTAACTTGTCTTTTGACACTCGTAGTTATTTTGGTAAGAACAGAGAGAGGTTTTTTCCCATGTTTGAAATTATCCAGCTAGTCCAGCTCATTGACTTATTCATGACCAAATGGGAACTGAAAGATTAGAACGTTTGTTTTATACTTCAATTTATGAATAAAAGCTCAGCAGGAAATAAGGAATTCTGCAGGTTTTTCACTTTGATGGATTCTGATGATGAGTGGTCAGTCTGCTCCAAAAAATGACTGTATCAGTGAGAACAAAGGAGGTTTTAAATGAGGGGAAGGGTTTCCTATATATCTTATACTTTTAAAATAGTCTAATCTTAAAAACTATTTCTATACTTCTAATTCCRTTTCTATCCAGGTAGTGTTTACACAAATAACATTAAGTTGTACATCAAGTTTGCATGTAAAGTTTATGTACAAACATAAAAATGAAAAATTACTTAGTGAGAGAAGCGTACAGTGCTGTTCATTTTCTAGCTCCTCCTATTTTCTCTTGTACTTACAGTACTGACTACTATGCTTCTGAATAAATCTGTTTTGTATATAATATACCCCATAGTATGATGGCATGTCTATTTAAATTTGAGATATATTTCAACAGATTTTGAAAGTTGAGGATTCAGATAATTTTAAGATCTCTTTACCCTTAGATTTTATGTCCTTAACACTGAAAAGTGAAGCAGCTTCTTCACTAGCTTTTCTCCTTCTCCAAAATAAAAAAGGTAGAAAAAAAATAACCTACATCTAGTCCTTGAGTTGGTTGTTGGGAAGTCCATTTGCTTGTCTTGCTTTTTTCTATTACATGAATCCTCATTAATTCTAATATTGATTGTTGTTTTAGATAGAGAAGTGCTACCTATTATATGCCTGAAAACAGGGAAGGTTAGGAGATTTAAGATAAAAGCATTTACTTAGGGCTTGGAGGGGGCAATCTTTTTTGTGTTAGTCACTAGAAGATCTAACAGCAGCTTTCATGCTGTGAAAACAGAGAGAGCCTCTGAAGGGAAAGACTTCCTGCTAGACAGAAAATGTGCCCTAAGCTGATAGTCTGTGGTTGTGCATGTCTGCCTTGCCAGGGCTTCCCCAGCGACTAAAGCTAAATGGCTGGAAGGAAATGGGTATAAGGTTTGTGTACAGAATCGAGAAGCTCTTGGCTTACACGGAATAGAGAACTGCCARAATGTCATCTGTGCCTGTTGAATGTATATAGAGTATCATCCAAATAAAAGAGAAATGCAACTTACTCAACACTCCTCCCATAACACAACTTTTCCCCTTATTATTTAGTTTCACTTGTGTAAATCTCATTTTCAGGAGCTGCGGTCACGAGAGGAAGAGTTGACACGAGCAGCTCTTCAGCAGAAGTCCCAAGAAGAATTACTGAAGCGCCGGGAGCAGCAGTTAGCAGAGCGYGAGATTGATGTCCTGGAGCGGGAGCTCAACATCATGATATTCCAGTTGAATCAAGAGAAGCCCAATGTAAAGAAGAGGAAGGGCAAATTTAAAAGAAGCCGTTTAAAACTTAAGGATGGACATAGAATAAGTTTGCCTTCAGGTCTGAGAGTCTTTTTTCAATTCACAATATATGTTATTAATTAAATGTGCAGAATTAAGTTCAATGGTTRAAATGATCAGTATTGGCTACTATTTTAAGTCATTGCAAGGGTCGTCTTATCTAATAATGCAAAAGATGTGGTAAGAGTTATTTAGCTTCATTTATTTTCTCCAAAATTTTATGCAGCAGTGTTCTTTTAAGTTGGAAGAATCTTTCACCTTTCAAAAAAATCCATTTTATCTGAAGGGAAGGGGCCTAGATTGACAGTGATTAGAAATTCCAATATCTTTGTATTTCTGTTTTCGTGCAGAAAAATGCTTTTTTTTTAATCATTGCCAAGAATTTTCTGACATGATTACGTATTAATGCTATTTACCCTAAACTTGTGAATAGCCAATGAAAGACAACTTTTAAAGATGACTGGAAATTTAGGTAATAGTGATTCCAAGTCTCAGGCTTATTGCAGTCACGTGTACAACACAGGAGTTATGATCTTTGCCTTACTTCCATGTAGAAAGCACTAATAGCAACAGAAATGTCATTTCAGATTGTAAATGTTCTAGCATTTAATTCTATCCAGGGACACATTAAAATCTTGCCTTAGCAGAGGCAAATCAGTCAAAAGATTGATTTGTGGCACTGTCGGGGCAGTTTGAGTGGCACTTTATTGCTGCCATCACTAGGTGGCAGTGTGGAAACTCAAGGGTTGTGCCAAAAACTGGCAGCCTTCACAAGTGTGGGAGCGTCCTGTGGTTGATGGATTTTCCTTTCAGTGGTTTCCAGGTGAAGTCTCGGCTTATTGCTACTGCAGTGAGACCTTAATGCAGTGCTGACAACGCTCCAACCAGTCGTAGCTATCTGAATATTTGAAAAGGGCAATATTTGAATGTGCTAATATTTAGAGTACTCTTTCAGTGCTAGTAAAATAAGTTTACTATTTAATATTTTAAAAACAGTGCTTACAAAGAAATCAAGCTACAGCTTCACCGATAAACATGGTCTTCAACAGTTATTTTTAGATGTAGTCTATAATGAATCACAAGCTTTAAATCTAATCTAATCAATGTAAACTTTGTCAATGCTATTTTTTACATTGCGTATGAAGTACATGTAAAAAATGCGAATCTGGTTGCCATGAAAGCTGCTATTCACTACATTTCTAGCACATATTWTAATGCATCTAACATCAGTATAAGCACAGTCATGACTATATCTTTACCAAAAATCATTTTGCAATGATCTGAAATTAAATTTTGAAATCCTGATTGAATATTGGATGATTTGAGACAAGATATTACTGTATTTCTTTAGCCTTTCCTTCCCTCTCTGAAAACCAACAGAATCAAATATTGGCATGCAACGTGAATATGCCTCTAGTTTGGCTCCAATGGAACAACCTGGTGCTTTGGATGGTGATATGTGATGCATAAATCATATAGATTCCATGCAACTGCAAAATCGTACCTGTTTGGCTTACAGTCTACACTGATTGTTTCATTAAGGATCAGCATTTGTCAATGTTGTCAATATAAAAAATTTCTTGCTCTATAAAGTCTTATTCATTATGTAGCTTTATCTGGTTTAAGAAATACAGTGGTATAATGTCCTGAATATCCTTTAGTTAGGATGTTAAAGCTGTTTTGTTTTACTCTTTTACTCTGTTTTACTCTTACAGACTTCCAGCACAAAATAACAGTGCAGGCATCTCCCAATCTGGATAAGAGGAGGAGTTTAAACAGTAACAGCTCTAGTCCCTCAAGTAGCCCCACAATTATTCCTCGTCTTCGAGCTATACAGTGTAAGTCTCTATCATTTCAGTTTCTTTAGTAAACATTATGTCAGTTCTGTGAAGAGTCACTGAAACGCTGGTAATATCAAATATCGGGTAGATTTATGTTTAGTTTCCAGACTTCGTAACTTGTTCACCCAAGCAGTAAGTTGCAAGAATTAGGAGGGTTAGTCTTGCTAAAATGTTAATTACTTTTCAATAATTCATTTCAAAATTTTTGGGAATATTAAATCGTATCTTTCCTTTTTAACTTCAGGAAGTCATATGTGAACTGACTTCAATAAAGCAGTTGAGAATCAAAATTTATAATGGTAAAAGGTAAAGGGTCAAGTTTAGAAGCCTTGTAAGATGGAAAATTAATTTTTATTGGAGTTGATAAATCAGCTGTGGGCTGTCAAAAAGAGTCAGAGAATGAGGTGGTGATATAAGCTGGAAGGACAGAAAAATCTGCCAGCAACTTGGCTTGCTCAGAACAAAAGAGAAGCAATTAGAGAAGCCAGATGGAAATTAAGACGGTTTGCTTTGGGCTTTTGGTTTTGTTTTGCTTTTCTTCTCCCTGTTTGCAAATTGGGCATACACTTGCAGACCTAYGTTATTTTATGTCTCCCAGTGCCAGAGGGCAAGTTACATTTGTGCTAGTGGAGCAGAGGTAGCATATGGAAGAAAACTGATCCTATTGTTATAGCAAAACCCACGTTCATATTTGGGAATGGTGTATGTAGAAATGGGAATAAAAAAGGTTCCTACTGGTTGCATTTTTACTCCCTCATCTTTTGTGCAAAGTGGATTGTTYGGTTATCCCTATTCAGGATGTCGTGTTACAAGGAATGAAAAAGCCAAACGTTGCTTTCTCTATGAGGCAGCAGAACCTGTCCTAGAAGATTGCTAGTGGATCATGAATGTCCTCCCATGCCAGAKTAGGCCACCTCCGCAAAAAGTTATTTCCAAATCTGGCATTAAAGATTTTTAAATATCTTTATTTCRAAGAATATGAATAAGGAGAGAGGGAGAAGAGAATGGTTTCTTTCTGCTTGTTGTTCTGTAGCTAGTTTAAGGAATTCTGTAACTAGCCTGAAACTTTGTTTAAAACTTGGTAGAAACAAGCTCTTATTTCCTTTGTGGTACATCTGCTTTATGAAATGCTTTTCATTTCTTAGGGAGTAAAGGACAAGTGGGGTCTACTTTTGACAATTGTAACTCAAGTATTTGTTTGAACGGTAACTGATACAGTTCCCTGGCCCAAGACCGTTACTACCAGCACATTGTGGTTAAGGAGAGAGCTGGATAAACCCTGTCCCTGTCTTGCTTTTCTTAATGACAACTTGAGAGCCAAGGAAAATCATAAAAGGAAAGTCTTTTGCAGAATTGCAGCAGGAACAATAGTTGTGTTGATAATGTCCCTGCCACGCGCACCCTGTTGTGATTGTGTGCTTTGTTTTGCTTTTGCTTGTTTGTTATTTACTTCAGTCAAGAAAGAAATGGCTTTTGTCTGTCTTTCTGGAAGAAGTGAAGCAAGTGTCAGGCATAGGCATGATTCTGAAACGTTGACTATGTAAATATGTATACAATACATGTTTTTCAAATTTCTGTAAAAGTCATAGCTGTGGCACCCTAATCCTTGCACATGTGAAATTTTAACTGCAGATAGATTTTTATGAGCAGGCATTTGAATTTGTAGCAGTAAAACACAGGGCAATGGCAGTGTGTTCTTTAAAGGAAGTACTCCCCAGTTTTTGAGTTTGGATTTCTGGGCTTGATCTAAGAGCTTATCAGCTCTCTCAGGCATATCTAGCTGAAACAGTTTCGCTTCCACAGTCACCTGCACCTGGGATTTTGAGGGGAAGAAAAAAAATCTTTCCCACAATAATGTTTTATCTTGACTTAACTTCAAAGTGACTTTGTTTCAAGAAGAGTTACTCAAATATACCTGATTTGCACAGGCCTACCTAGCGTAGCAGTTGGTKACTTGATCGCTTCACTTTGCCATAAGTAGTTTTAATTCTAAATCTAAATACCTTTTTTAATTAAAGAATAAATTAAGAATTTTTATTATTTGTAAATCCTGTCACAAAGCCTAATTCAGCTGTCTTAAAACCTTCTGCCTAGATTCGGGAACAGTATTTGGAACATGAGAGTTTAAAGAAGTGTCATGTTGTGCTTCACAAGCAAGCTGTGCTGGTGGAAGGGTGCACGGTGAGGGAAGAGGCGAGTGCTGAGCAGTGCAGGCGAGGCAGGGCAGTTGACATGTAGAGCAGTTTGCAATGATGCTAGCAAGCCACGTTGGTTTTCTGTTGTCTTTCCATCACAGCTGTGACCAAGCTAAGCGGACAGCAAGCTGCTACTTTAGGTCGTCCATCTCATGCAAACATCCCCTTGCCTGAGTCTGGTCCTAGAAAGAGGACCCTGTAAACTCTGCAGGAAAAAACTGTCTGTCAGAAAAGGCCGTGTGCATTTCTAGGTCTGGCTTTTATGTCCCAAAGCTACAAGTATAAGAAGGGACACAGTTCCCTTTCTGAAACCAGCTTGACTRAGATCTCTGCTACATTCTTTTAATTTTTCTTCAGTGATTTCCCAAACAGATACACATGCAGCTAATGGCCGAAGAAGCAGTGTGTATGTGTACCAGCAAGATGTAGATATCACAAGTGAATATGAACTTCCCAGTGGGGTTATGAGAAAAGGCAAGATTTCATTATATTTCAAGGGTGCTGATTCTTTTTAATTCAATAGYAGAGCTGAAGTGACAGACTAAGCATTTAATGAAGCATAGACGCTTTAAAAGTATAATGTTTTGTTCTGGCACAATAAAAAGTACATATTAATCGTTGTCTGAATTGGAATAGTCTCTTTAATATGATATAGTTGTTCCATAGCATATACCTTTTTATCGCTGGAATTTAAGTGCTCAGTCTCACTTGTCTGAATTACTAAATGCAAAATTAAGGTTAAAGTAAGCATGAAAAATAAGATCATTGTGCAGCTTTATCTTTTAATTGGGGTCTCTTGTCAGCTCACTTTTTTTTGTCTTGCTTGCTGGTCTTTTTGAATCAGTACAGTTTGTGTGGTGGTTGTTATTGTAAGGGAAAATAATCTAAACTTGTTTACTCCCCTTGGTGTACTGTCAGAATGCTTTTGCATTGGAGAAAATGGTTCTGTCCAAATATGTTGTCTTTAGAAGTACTGTTAATAGTGTGTCTTTTTTGTTGTTGTTTTTTGTTTGTTTGCTTTGTTTTAAAGTAACTTCAGATGAAAGCAACAGAACTTGGGGAAGAAGCACAACGTGTCACCAAGAAGAATTTGAAGATGTGAAGAGAAACTTTAAAAAGAGAGGCTGTACGTGGGGACCGAGCTCAGTTCAAACAAAGGATCGTGCAGATTGTAAGGACAAGTATGTCTACTAAGTTTCGTTCATTTGATAATACCAAGTTATTTCCTATTTGTAATTTTGCCAACATAGTTAGTGAGGGAGAGATGTTCTGTAGTCTCTATGGTTATAACTRTGAGTCCTCAGTTCTATTTATTTGTTAATTTAGAATCCTTAAAGTCGGAAGGAACCTTTAGAGATCATCTAGTCCAACCCCCTGCTCCAGCAGGGACAACCAGAGCACGGGGCTGCGTCCAAGCAGGGTTTGAATATCTCCAGAGAACGAGACTCCACAACCTCTCTGGGCAGCCTGTGCCAGAATTTAGGAACTGCTGCTAATGCAGAATAGCTCCAGAACACAGACTTGAGAATAATTTTTTTTTTTTTTTTTTTTCTGCTCTTTTTTTAATTTTTTTTTTTTTTTTTTTTCTGGCTCTATTATCCTTTATGTCTGAATTTTGAGACTTAGGACCTTTTGAGATTCTGAGCTGCTGAGCAGTCAAGATATTCCTGGCCTGTCATTCTTGTTCTTCTGCAGACTGACTTGAAGAACTGCAAGGATGGCCCCCAGTGGGCACTTCCAGGAGTATTAAATAAGACTAATTTGCATACACAGGGGTGTGCACTGTGCACATTGGAAATATTATTCACACTGACAAATGCAGGACAGAAAGTTACTTTTTTGTCTTCCTTCTATTGCTTAAAAACAGGAGGTTAGAGGTTTTCTGAAGCAAGAGATCCTTTCCCCTGTCTTTTCAAGCATATGTAATTCCATCACTTTTCTTTGAAGATATCCACTGATTTATTTGTGGCTTTGTTTGGCTCAGCCCATCTATTTACACTGGCTTAGATGATATTTTTGTATCTTTGAAAGTCACTGTATGTAATATATTTCCAGTATTTATTGTTTTTCTTTGAGACAATGAACCTGATATTCAGGTTTTCCAGTTTTTCATTGACTAACCATTATGTTCTGAAATTTCATCTTAGAATAGATATTTGATCCTAAGACACATATTGGTATGTAATTGTATGATTCTGCAGCATTCACTATACAACATTTCTTGCTTTCGGTTAACTATACTGCTTTATGTTATATGCTGCGTGTTTATCTTTTAAAAAGAAAGATATTTTAGTAATTTTCTGTCAAAGTATACATAAGCATGGKATCATCTGTAATATCAAAATGATCATCACTATTTCAGAATAAGACCCCTTTCAGACGGCAGCAACCCTTGGTCAACCCTTTTAATGAAAAATCAGAAGGGGCTTCCTTTAGCTTCGCTCTTTGCGGACCAAGGTAAGAGCCACTTGAAAAAGCTGAAGTTGTCACATAATGGAGCAAGTCTCCCTCCGATGTTATGAGCAGCATTGCTGAAGCTTCTCAGATATTGTACAAACCTTGTGAATGTTGTCTTGCTATAGATACTTTACCTTTGTTCAGAAAAAAAAAAAAAAAAAAACCCTTACATACATAAAAATGTTGCTAAAGTCCTTACCTTTTCATTGTTAGCAGCTAAGAAATGTATATGGTGTGTGAGCAGTGCTACAAATGTTTTTTTTCCAAATTTTTGGGATGTGGGCTGCTCTGTGTATGAGATCTGCAGGAACAGCTTTTTGCTTTCTTTTGGAAAAAAAATAGTAATTTATTTGACATTTAAATGTTCATTGATTACTTTTATGGCAGATGAACCATTAGCCTAATACTTTCAGACATATTAGTTCTCTGCTTTTTTTTTTTTTCTCTAAATCGTGGAGGGGGGAAAAAAAAAGGTATTTAGATTCCAAATCTTAAGTTGTCTAGGTAACTTTTCAGGATTGATAGGAAAGTCGCAAGGAAAACCATTATATTTAGTATTCTTAGGATAAGGAACCTAATAGCTGCAATATAAAATGTTTTCTGCGTCTCTTGCTGTAATCCATGCACAGAAATATTTCTCTTGTTTGAAAACACGATCACAAGTGTTGCAAAACCTGAGATTTCACAGCAAATGAAATCATACCATCTGCTTTTCAATTGCTCTGAAAAAATAAAAATTAGAAGATGCTTTGAGCTTTCCTACTGATGAAGACCAGTCTTTCAGTCTTAGAGGATAGCAGGGGGAGATTCCAACCTGATTTCTTTACAGTTTGCTTACTTAGGAAGATAAATCTGCAGGTTGCTTTTATTAAATTCTGCTTTTGAGTTGCCAAAAAGATGAAACTGTAGCCAAGTGGAGTTGCACTGTATGTACTATCAAGGGAACAAGAAAAGAGTTAGGCTAACAATGTTTCTGAATCTTGCAATATGAGTGTCTCAACTTCTTAATGTATTTAAAGGGGGCACACAGTGTCTCTCAGGATTGATATATGTGCAAGGAAGTGGATGTACTTGTGTAGACATGTAATAACAAATAGCTTATTTGTAATCTTAAAGTCAGTCTAATGTTTTATAGGTGTCTCTACTGATAAGAGACTTCTCCCTGAGGGACTGGACACCAAAAGACCAAAGCCAATAAAGCTGTCGAATCAGGCCTATATTAATCTACCTCTGTGGAAGGATGAGCAGGGAGAGAATACAGCAGAACCTGAGAGCTTTGAAGAAGGAACCTCTGCCAGCTCGGCAAACAGTACTCCTCAAATGACACCTACAAACAGTCTGAGCAGAACACCRCAGAAAAAGAAGACCGATTCAGTGCTGTACGGGTGTGCAGTTCTCCTGGCCTCTGTTGCCCTGGGCTTGGATATCAGGGAGCTGAACAGATCATCCCAAGGTTCAGAAGACCTCTTGCCAAAGGATGAGAAGAAGAAGCGCGATGGGTTGTTCCAGCGTGCTTCAAAGTTTCGCAGGAGTGCCAGCCCTGCAAGATTGCAGGCCAAGAAAGAGGAAACAAATATTCCATCCTTAAGTCCAGCTGCAAATACTGTGAATCTTCTTTCTATGCCTTCCATTTCCACAAAATGCCTCCTTCAGCCTGACAACGAAGATGCATTTGTAAGCACTGTGCTCGATGATTGTGATCCATGCAGCTCCACCGATGGCTTTCCATTGGAAACTCCTGAAAGTAAGAGAGAAGAGAGGTTACAGCCGGCTGCTAACACGTTTCCTATAGCGTTAAAGAATCAACCTTTCAATCCTTGTCAGAAACAAGAATCTCAAAATGTGCCAAACGATTCTTTGTCCAAGCTCAGTGTGTTGGGTCACAGACGAACCTTATCAGATGGGAACAATTTTCAGACCACAGGTGGGTATTCAAAAGCTTCAAATGTGTAAGGTATTTTTTCATAGAAATGTAAATCTAGAGGTAGTAACTGTTCACCAGCTGCTCGCTAGGTTCTTTGCTCCATTATCACACAGGTTAGCTGAGCCACCATAACTGTATGTAGTAAGTCCTCTGTAATGGTCATGCCACTTGGAATAGGAACCTCTTACAATGTGGATATGGGCAAGTTCATTGTAAATAGATACTGATTTTTCTCAGGTATGGAAAAAAAAGGTTTCATGAGTCTTTTCAAGCAAATTATGTCAGCAAGAACCTGCTTTTTCTGTGAAACAGACAACACCAGTATTATCACTAAAATAAAGTAAAACTACGTTGTCAGCTTTGGGAGCCTGAGAGAAGCTTACACTTGCTTAATATATTAAACGATTAGCATCATTTTAGCTTGAATTTTGAATTAGTATCACTTTAGTCTGCCTATTTATTAACTTCCAGAAAAACAGGTCTGGTGTGTTTTGATTTGCTTCCCTGACCCTAGGAGTTACGTCGCATRCTCCACAAATCTTTAAGCTAAGCTATTGCTACACACTGAAGCCCCCCCCAAAATTGGTCATTAAAACTGGTTTGATTATTGTGATTAATGACTCTGTAAGAAAGGAAGTTCTAAATTTTAATAATGCTTTTCTAGAGTAGATGTGATGTAATATTCTTTACGGTATTGTATGAATACGTTATTATTCATGATATCTTAATTATTTGAGTAATCTGTCAAATTTGTGAGGCTTTATTCCAGAATTAATATTCATCCAGTCAGTGGTTGGTTAATGCTCTCTATSTTTGATAACAATGAAAAATAAGTTACCATCCTAAATATGAGCTTTTAATATTTTTTTAATGGAAAAAMTCATGAACATTTAGAGCAATCCACTTCTATAGACCGCAAAGAAATCCAAAAGCTACATGTTTTAAGGTATCTTTTTTTGCTCTTTCTTTTCTTCTAGCTAATGGATTTGCTTCAACGAATGGTGTCCCCAATTTACCAACATTGCCAGTTACCAGAACTCTACATTCTCCATCCGTTCAAGAAAGAAGCAATCATGATGGTATTTCACCTGAAAAACAGAGAGCTGCCAACATCATCTCAAGGCCTCGACCTTCTTCTGTGAGAAGCAGAATCGACGCGTGGCAGATTCTTCCACGTATAATTAAACCAAGCTCTAAAGACCCAGAATGTCTAGAGGACAACACAGGTCCACATGTGAACTGCTTACCAGATACCCAGGAAAGAACTAACTGCCACGTGCCCTCGTTGCTTGATATTGATGTAGAAGGTCAGAATAGAGACTGTACAGTGCCTTTATGTCGCATGAAGAGCAAAGCGTGTCGACCGTCTATATACGACCTGGAGAGAGAGTTTCTGTCTTGAGTGCCTTGTGTTTTAGAAACATTTCCTTTTTTAAAAGGAGAACACCCCCCCAAATTCCTGTCCATCTAATGCTTCATGCTGCTGTTTTCTAATGTACTGTGACGAATAGTACCAAAATTATTAAAACGGGCAGCTAATTAAGAAAGTGTAATAGGTGCCTTCTTAAAATTTCCTTGCGAATCCCAGCTAGTAATTCTAAAAGCACAAAAATAGTACTCGAGATGAACCTGCCAAGCGTATTTCAATGAGTAAAATAACATGTCTGCTTCCCTTCACATGGCATCACGTGTTTTCTTCTGGTTTGGACTCTTTTTGCCAGAACTTTAACTTTTGCACACAGGAAAACTGAATGGCCCGCAGWAGGGCTGTGTTCAGTCAGGGAGAGCTTGCATAACAAGCAGTTGTCTGCAGCCAGCCTCTTTATGTCTCTCAGAACTGGGGAGGGGGGACAGGGGATTAAGATGCCAGTACAGAAGTGCCCTTTTCACTCCACACTAAGTAGCTGGTTGCTTTTTGTCATTTCATACTGGACTCGGTTAAGGGCCTGCAATTGAATTCGCAGTCTTTGCCCTTGGGTTTGGGGAGAGCTTTTCAGCTGGGTACATGAGTTTCTCCAGCACATTATAGTGCCTATATAAACACGTAGGTCTCAGCCACGATATCGATTTAAGAGGGTAAGCTATAGTATTGTGATTGGATTAAAGGTTTTTGACACACTTTCTCATGTGGATCAACATTCCATGTAGGTATGGATACGCTGGAATGTAAATATTTGTGCTCTAACTTTTTGACAACTACGGTGTTTGCACTGAAAGGAATATTCTCGGTTTGGGGTTTTTGTTTGTGGTGGAGGGGGTTGCCTTTTTGTTTTGTTTCATTTTCGTTTGTTTCTAACGCTGCACCTTGTATCCAGTAAGTGTTTTAAGGGTGAGTGTTCTTYGTTTCTAAGTGAGCCAGCAATGCATTTAACTGCATTCAAATTTTATAGCTGCAAACATTTAATATTAACTCTTTCACTATAACTTGTAAAGCTTTTCTTCCTGAAGTTGCCCAATTATTCATACTTAGGAACTAAAGGACAAAGCCAGATATGCTTGACTGTTTTTCAGGGATTAAAAAGGTTCCYGAAAATTCCAAGTAGTTAATTGTGGGGGGAAGGGGCACTTAACTTTGATAAAATTAATAGTTACTTTATTTTTTTACATTATACCTAATGAAGTGAATAAATAAAACTAAATGTTTTTATCTGATGAAAGTATAACTAGAGTTAAAGGACTCTCCCTTAAATCTCAATATTTGAACTGGTAATTTTTCATACCATTTGGCACTTAAAATAGTCTTCTTAAGTAAAACAATGTTAGAATAAAATTTTACATTCTCATTAGAACAGTGTTTTATTAAAACTTTTGTCCAAAACACCATTTCTCCTTTGCTCTGGGGTCTTGGGAGTTCAGTTGTTAAGCGGGGCACACAATTACTTAAACCTTCAAAGCCGAGGGATTAAAAAAGAAAGTTTCTATTCTAAGGCTGGTATGCAGCACATCGGTTACCTTGACGATGCCACATAATTAGATGTACAAAATCATGAACTCTTAATCACACAGAAGACAGAAAAATGCAACTTCCCAGCTCTTGAAGTGGAAATGAAAAGGGATTTCCTTAAAGTATTACTTTTACAAGAATGCATAACCACTAGCTTTCTGTAAAAGCTCAGTGACTGCAGAGCAGTCTATAGTGTTTGGTTCAAACCTGTTTGTACTTCAGTAATCCAAGTTAATTGTCAACATGGTTCAAGTTGCCAACTGTGTTCTTTGACTTTCCTATAAACTTTCATTTCAGCAGAGCAAATTAATAGGTTATTTCTATCTGTTTTTAATTAGATGGGATTTCATAAAATATAGTCAATTATGTAATGCACACGGATCAAATCTTAAACATAGTTTGATAGCAGTTTGATGAAAGTTTGGAGCATTATGTATATTTCAACTCTTTGGGATCAGCTGTTCCTATGTAAATTGAGAAAAATTGAGTTGATTGTATTACAGTTTCTGAAGAAAGTATCTCTGGCTTTCTGCAGAAAAATCTCAGGTGCTGTAGCAATTTTGCCTTGTAAACTTGTATTTTTAAGGTGTATATCATTATGAATGTTGAATTTTGCACCCTATGTTTTGTAATTAATAGTATCAGCTTGTCAGCTATATTGTTTTCACTTTTCAGTGCTCATCATCTCTCTTTTTATTAAAAAAAAAAGATTTCTATTGATGTTCAGTGCATAATTTTTCTTTAAAATGGCACATATGCTATGACCATCCCAGTGCATTATAACTGATTTAGGAGTGCGTACTCCACCTCTCATTYTGAGGGAGTTTAGGTAAGTCATCTCAAATATTTTTCTCTGAGGTGTAGTCTCTTTAGCTGTAGTGCTTTATCATTATTGTTTGTAGTTTAAAATTCTAGGCCAGTCTTTACTGAAATTGAGGGGAAAAGAATGTAGAAATTGAGAAAAAGATTTTCACAATCTATATTTCACTTTTCACCAAAAAAGCTTTTTTGTAATTTGGTAGGCATTACATGGTATATTTTGGTTAAAAGTGTATTTATTTCCATGTAGGTTAATATTCTGATCAGATAAATCATAACTTATGTTGATTGTCTTAGCAGAAAACTGAAGGTGCTTACACTACAAAGATTGATAAACACGTGGCATGCTGTTTTACAAAACCTGATGATTTAAATGTTTTTTCTTTTAATTTAATTAATAAAGAAATGTTTTGTAGCTGCTATATTGCAAAATCACCTGGGTGTTCTTGAAAAAGATATTTTAATGCTTTCTTAACCTGTGCAAAGGAGTCTTCCAGGCAACAACCAGGGACTGCGGCCAGCCTGTTCCTGGAACATGAGAATGAATTGTTGAGCTGAGACTAATTGTCCAGTGTGGTACTGTGGACTTGCTTATAATTTATTGCAGTTGGTGTGGGCAGAAATTTTATGGTATAAGCCTTTTATTTCTCTTGTGTCACCATGATATTTCTTCTGGTACTTTTACAGTGGTGGCTGGATATCTCAGAGAAGGTAGAGCAGTGGCAGTAAATAAATTCTGCATCTGATTCAGCATCAAGAATGCAGCTAATCAATTAAATAGTTTTTCTGAGATGCATGAAACCAGGATTTTTCTTTTAATATTTTCTAACATCTTCCTTTACGGGCTTCTTCCCATTTCCCTACCCCTCTAACAATGTTGCTGGCATAYTGCCCCCTTTTTGAGGGGAGAGATGAGGTAGTATTCACTTGTACAGGAGCCACAGGCAACTTGTGGTACAGGCTCTAATGATGCACTGGAATTCAAAGCCTGATCTTACAAAGACGCATCTAATCTTATAAAGACATGTCAGTATGTCTTTATTCAGTGAGGCTGCTTAGATAACAAATACTCATGTGTCTAGTAAATGTCATTATTGAGCCCAGGATATTAAAATAATCTGTGTTCGCAGCTTTCCATTTCATAGAATATCTTAYGATTTAGATTTGCACACAAGAATTAGTGGAAAAGACCCCATCTCTCGCTAACTACCTCATTTTTTTAGTAAAGTAATTAGTCTGATTACTATAATGAATAAAGTATCAAGAGTTAATGCTCTAGATAACGGCAGTTATCTAATTCATTGTGGGATGTAGTTTTAAGTATACTAAGGACTGTGCTTTTTGAATTTAAAGAAAATGATTTTTAAATTAATGCAAGAAGGCCTTATAGTTGAGATAGTTGAGTTGTGACATGAGGATGCCCAAGCTCAATACTTAAATTTAGTAGCTGATCTGTTCAAAATCTTTATTCTCTTAAAAAAAAAAAAAAAAAAAATCATTAATACAACTTGAGTGATTAATCGGGTACAGTACTTCAGMCAGACATCAAATTCCATTTTATTACTTTGAGTTATTAATGTAGAGATGCTGTATGACACTATTAAAATAGAACTTTTTAAATATTGCAGTAGGTGCAAGAACATCCCACTCCATCACATTTGCATTTCCAGGGTCTGACAACTTGTTTCTCTCAAGGTGCTGAAGACTATCATCAACATTATGGTCTCATCTGTGGTGCTCCAAAGGGGACATGGGAAGGGCATGACGATGACTTTCTCAACAGGGAGCTATTAACAGTTGTCTAAAGATGCCAAATGCAGCTAGAGACACTAGAACTCTCTGAAGTTCATTACATGCCCCAGATTTTCTTAAGAGCTACATCATCCTGTCTCCTTCCTGAGATTTGCCAGCTGCCTCACTGAGATCTTCCTTCCATCGCTGTTTCCCATAGCAGTCCGTACYAACAGTCTTGTGAGGGCTTGCCTTGCCAGCCATTCCTGAAATCATAGGTGAGGCTGCGTGTGCAGGGACCTAAGAGGAAATGGAAGGAATGGGACTATTCATCCCCCTCTCTCTTTTGCCGTTGACTTAAATAAATCAAAAGTTTCTACACTCACTTTCATGGTAGATAAGATTAGGCAGTAATATTTTGCAAAGCCTTTTTTCTTTACTCCCACCTTCCAAAAGTGATGTTTATTGATTGCTTGAGCTGCTTGTTCTGCCTCATGAATGTTACTAATGATCAGAGGGATGCACGATACTTTCTCTGCCTCATGAAAAGAGGCAGCCGTCCTGGAAAGCAGGTGGATCCCACAACAGCTGCCTCTGGCAGCAGTGCAGGTAAGTCAAAAGCAGGGCATATGGTGTCCAATGATTTAAGCTGTTTTGAGTGCATGATTCTTAAGAGAAAGGTGATGGATAATGTCTTTCAGGGAATCTGTAGGGGTAGGAGATTTGCCCAAAAGAAATCCACAGCTGTGGACCACCTGAAGTGGTCGAAGCCTTCCTGATTCTATCATCAAAGAAATGAAAGTACAGCTCTTCCAATGCAGGCACCTTCTGAAATGTTGAAGACAGAGCTGGTAATGGTGAGTCTATTAGCTACTGTAGTTCTGGTCTTTTCTCGCTTTAAAATGGACAGAAATGACTCCCACTGCTGGATCTGTTCTAACAAATAGAACTATCATCCAGGCCTTGAGTCCTTGTGTGTGACACAGCTGCTTGGTGGCTTTTGGGCCTAGAACAGGCCTGCTCTATTGGGACACTCTACACACTAAATATAATTGCTGAATAGATATTTGTGGAAAAAAAATAGCCTTTTCTTATCATAGAGAAGCTGSTATTTCCATATCTGCTACTATTCCTGGTGAGCAGATCCCCTGCTAGCTTTCTTAAGAGTTAAAGAATTTTTATTGCAAATAAGTTGATTTAGATCCGCTGAAAGCTTATCCTTTAGGTACTTTCTTAGCAAATTTCTCTTCTGTGGAAGCAAATTCTTTGCAAATTCAGAGGGACTCAAATGTCTTGAAGGTCTTTTCCAACCATAATGATTCTTTTTTATAGAATCAAATTGTTATATATCTGTGCTTTTCTTAATGATGGCTAAAAGGTGTAAAGAACAGCTCTTGTCTATGATAATGATACTGAAGGATAGTGTAAGGCAATATGAAAGAGTGTCATTGCATGGGGTCACCATCTATGAGCACTTTAGCAAGTTTTGGGGACACACCACAGAATTCATTCTTAGGCCTGCAGAGCTGCTATGTGGAACTCTATAGCTTTACTAAGCATGATACAATATAGGAGAAGATTGCAACTAAAACCCCTTACTTAAATAGATATTCTGAATCCCTTCTAGTATGTCAGGGGTACTATTTTTTGTTGGCCAACATCTATTTGTAGATACTAAAAGAAAAGAGAGACTCTTTTACCTGTTACCCTGCACAAACAAAACATTCTTTTGTTTATTTTTCTTTTTTTGTCTGTTTTTTTTTTTTTGTTTTTTCTACTCTGCCTTAAAACCTCTTGAGACTTCCAGGGTTTTGAGAGGAGAAGAATGGGCAGTGCTATCCCTTTCTAGCTGCATGTGAGCCAAAGAGAGAAGTCTGACTTATAGTTACCTTAATAGATATTGCTGAAGGTAATTCTCTGATAAAAAGCATGATGTAAAATTCCATGTAGTATAAATATGCATATGACTACTAGATTTCAAAAGAAGAGAATCAGCTGTGACGTTTGGGGGGCAATGATAGCTGTGTTTGTGGTATTGTTTGAAAATGTTTCTGAATACTTGAATTCTTGCTAAGAATTGAAAGAAGAGGAAGTCAAGCTAGGATGAGACTTGGTTACAGTTGAAAGAAAAAACTAATAAAAAAGGGATGGAGTGTTAACTTTCACTTCTCTATCCTTTCCCATGCAGTCAGTCAGATCTAAGTTTATCTTGATATTAAGAGAAAAAGGCAAAATCTCCTGTAATCCACAGAAGTCTTCACTGTAAAACTATTCAAAGCACACTAGAACAGGCAGTTCAGAAACAGAACTGAGAATAAGAAGCAATGAGATGAATGACGCACAGATATATAATGTAAACCATTAGCTTCCCTCAGTAGCAGAGATCTCCAAGGATCAAAAGTGGAAAGTATTATCAGTTCTTCATGTTGTAATAAGTGTACACGAGATAGATAGTTGCATAGTTTGGAAACTAGCAGTYATTTATCACCCTTTTCCATATACCATAACCTGATGGGACCTGATTGATTTAGCTCATCTTGTGGACCACCCCGTGTATGTTGTCCTGCAGAGTCCTTCAGATGCTCAGGGGGTGCATGCACACCCGTACAGAAGTCCCAACGCCAGGAGAGCAGGCGGAGGTCTCGCCTGGCTACCTGCTGCAGCAGGCRTGGGCAAAAGCAGATCCTTCTTGCCTCCTGGCTTCACAAATGCCTACCTGTTTCCCAGCTCTTTTTTTCTCTACTGGTTTCTCTGAAACTTTGTTCTCCTTCTTTCTGGAACTACACTTAGGCGTTTGGTTCAGCCTCTTTCAGGATGGATTCATCCCTTTGGTATTTTTCATCAAACAGCTCTACTTCCATAATAGCACCAACAAAGTGGTGGTTCCTTTTCCCTTTTTAACAATGAGTTCCTGTTGCAAAGCAGCTGACTTTGCAGCAGCCCTCCCATGTTTACAGATAAGTAAGAAATGAAGCCGTTCTTGTGGTCTACTGCTATTCACCAACCTCCCTAACACCAGTTGAGTGGCTGCTGTGGGTGCTAATTTTGCATTATCAGATGTTCCTGTATGACTGGAGTCAGAAAGCACCATAGAAGGTTTAATGTAATTGCTTGTCCAGAGGAAAGCTAGAGGGAGATATG